CTTGGATTTAAAATTCGATGTATATGCTCATCATTATTTTCTTGATTTTCAATCTGTCTATTACTTAAAAAATGCAGTGTCTCAAATGAAAGAAGCAGATTTGCAGAAGATTGCTATGCCGAATTATATTCCATTAAAACCACCAAACATATTTGAAACGTTAAATAATTTGTTAAATGGAATGGAAGTGACGCCATTCCCTTATTTAAGTCAAGTAAATTTAAAGACGAAAAATATAATTTATTTAATAGCACTCATAGCAAATGAAAATAAACCTATTGTGCTAGAAATCGATAGATTTATAAAGCATATAATACCAGTTGGAAGTCGTATAGATTTTCAAGAAAGCGGAAATAAATTCGAAAAAGAAATATGTAAAAATATTGAATGTTCTGCGATAGATAGAATAGTATTACTATATCATGAATTAGGTAAGTTTTTAATACTTCAAATATCGCTATTTTTAATCATGAATTAAAAGTTGAAATATTCTATTCTCAGGCATGAACAAAAAAGATCTTGAAACATTACCTCCTGGTGTATCATTGCTGTTAAAAGATATAATGTACAGGTGTAGAGAACGTCCTCCATCAAATTGGCCAATGCAAGTGTACGAATTAGTTGATCGACAAGATTTATCTGCATTGGGCGAACATTTAAAATCATCCGTATTAAATCACTTAGAAAATGAAGGAAAAAATTATTCGATTAAAGATCCTGAACAAGATGATGGGATGGAATTTGATGATGCTGTATGTTTAGATAATATTTATAAATACGAAATGTATTCGGGAGGTATTACTTGTTACACATATTAATTATGATGTTATATAGGTATTAAAGTTGAGATTTAACAAAGATCATAGAATAGCAGAAGTTCGAAAACTTCTAAATTCGTCAAAACCGGTAAGGATAGCGATAGTTCAGAGGCCAGATGTAAGTGACCATGAATTTATAGAAGAACAGGAGAAACATTTACATGCACTATGCACAAGAACGATGGCACTTCCAGTAGCTAGAGGCATGTTTACACTCAGAACTTCAACTCCTATTATTACAGAGCAGTTACCAATTCCTCGACTTTGCTTGACTGGTACGAACCAACAATAGCATTCGTATTTCTAAAAATTTTTAACAATCGTAAAATGTCCTTATATGTATAGGAAAAGCACCTCCTCGTGGAACAACTGTAGAACTAGCTCACATAGATGTCCCACCAAATATGAATTTATGGCCATTATTTCATAATGGTGTAGCTGCAGGTCTACGTATTCATCCAGATGCATCTAATATCGATTCTACATGGATAGTATATAATAAGCAACAACAGGGCGAATTTGGTATTGAACATTCGGGATTCTTAATGGCACTTGGTCTAAATGGTCATTTGAAGAATTTAGCACCTTATAGCATGTATGAGTACTTAGTTGAATGTCATGAGGCTACCAATGTTGGACTTCTATTAGGATTGTCAGCAACTCACCGTGGTACAATGAATGTTTCTATGACTAAATTATTATCTCTTCATGTGGAAACTCTGTTACCTCCGACAAGTATTGAATTAAACGTTCCACAGAATGTTCAGGTTGCTGCATTGATGGGAGTTGGTTTAGTGTACCAAGGAACTGCTCATAGGCATATTTCACATGCTTTATTATCAGAGATTGGTAACTATTCAATATAAAATTATAACATGTAGTTGTATATGACTTTACCAAATTAATTAAATTATTTAAAGGCAGACCTCCAGGACCTGAAATGAAAAACTGTATAGATCGAGAATCTTATTCTTTAGCAGCAGGTCTTGCATTAGGTTTGGTAGTATTAGGATGTGGAGGAGGGCCAGATTTAGCTAATATACCAGACACTTTACATTATTACATGGTTGGAGGACATGTTAGACCTTTTACAGGAGCACAAAAAGACAAATATAAATCACCTAGGTAAACATTTTGTATTTAATTTTGTAAAACATTTTATATTTTTCTTTTTTCTTATAATTTCAGTTATCAAATACGAGAAGGTGATTCCATAAATATTGATGTGACAAGTCCTGGAGCAACTATAGCTCTAGGTCTTATGTATTTCGATACAGGAAATAAAGCAGTAGCAGAGTGGATGCAAGCGCCTGATACTCAATATTTATTAGATTTTGTACGACCTGATTTCTTACTATTAAGAATATTAGCAAAATCACTTATTCTTTGGAATGAAATTGAACCAACCAAATCCTGGGTTTCTAGTCACGTTCCTAACATTGTTTATAAATACAGATTACAAAAACCAACTTCTGAAATAGGGCAGAATGTAGATTTGGAAACCATGAAGTTAGTATATAGAATATACTTGTATTTAATAAGATTAACGTAATATCTTCCTTATACTAATTAATGTTAATTAAAATACAGCCAAGCTTACTGCAATATAATTGCGGGTGCCTGTATGGCTTTGGGTTTAAAATTTGCAGGGACTGCCAATAGAAATGCTTTTAAAACTTTATATAATTATGCTCAGATGTTTACGGCATTATCACATAAAACTATTGCCGAACTAGCAGGAAAATCAACCATTGAAACTTGTTTAAATGTTACCCTACTTTCTGCTGCTGTTGTAATGGCTGGAACAGGGAACTTAGAGGTAAATTTAATACGTGAATTATTAGTCATTAATGAATTATGTAATGTTTTTGTGTTTGTTAACTTATTTATACTAAATTGCATAGATTATGAGAATATGTCGACACATAAGAACTCGTGTGGGCCCTGCAAGTAACGTTGTTACATATGGATCTCATTTAGCAACACATATGGCTCTTGGTCTACTTTTTCTTGGAGGAGGGAAATATACTCTTTCTAATAGTCCTAGTGCAGTAGCTGCTCTTATAATTTCCCTTTTTCCAAAATTCCCAACACATAGTAATGATAACAGGTTAATAATAGAATAATAGCTTATTTATCAAAATTGACTTCTTACCTTAATAATTATTCTTACTAATTATTAGGTATCATTTACAAGCTCTACGACATTTATATGTATTGGCTGCTGAACCACGTGTAATTTTACCTAGAGATATTGATAGTGGTCAGTACTGCTATGCAACAGTGCATTTAACATTCGAATCTGAAAAAGATGGCGATGGACAAGATTTAATACTTCAAGCACCATGCTTACTGCCACAATTGTGTACTATTAAAAAAATTGAACTAAAAGACGATCGATATTGGGAAATCATTTTTGTAAAAGATCATAACTGGCAACAACTTGAGAATATGCTCAAAAAGTGTGAAACGTTAGATGTTAAACAGAGAGCTGGTTGTTTACCATATATAGAGGATCCTCATGTAATTATCTTTTGGTCCTTCATATCAAATTAAAAGTATTACCATTACTTTATTATTTATTGTAATTCTTGCTTCTCAACTTAGGATGGCTTCTGGATTACATCATATAGTACATAAATATAAGTATATAAACATATTAACATTTAATATTATCTTTTTTCTAAATATGTTTCAGGGTTTTAGAAGTTTAATTGCTCAAACTTTAACAACAGAAAATGTTATCGCGTGGGCTGCTCGTCCTGAATGTGTAACTTCTTTTACAAATGATAAAACTATTTTAAATATAGTAAAATGTTTTTTACAATGGCCCAAACAAAATAAAACTAAAACTGAGATTAGCTTCAAGATGCAATCTTGTGGTAGTTCAGCTAAAAATAGTTCTGGGTACCTATCACAAAGCTTGAGCAACACATCTGAAAGAATAAGTGGTAGTTGGAATGAGCAATCAGATTCTTCTAATGAAAAAATGGAAATTGTAGAAACGTTATCTTGTTCAAAAGATGCAAATTCTTTCTGTAAATATGACGGACAACATTCCGAAATGACAGAGTTCGAAAAACAGTTTCTACACACATTTGCTATAATTGTGTATGAATGTGTAATAAAAGATAAAGTGAGTCTCCTTCCTTTATGGGTGAATTTAATAAAAAGTATGGAAATTATTGAAAAAGAACCAAACAGCTTCTCCATATGGCAAATAAAACTTGTTTCATCTCAAATGTTAAAAAAGTCTTACATAGAAAGCAAAAATCCTGTGCTTGGTACAGAAAGTATACTTGCAATTAAACAAAACATTTCATATATTATGGATAGCTGGGAACGTGGTAAGTACTATATGTTTTTAATATTAAATGTATATTTTTTCAATATTTAACAATTTTTTTGTAGAATTAACACCTCATATAAAGTCTTATTTAACAAGTGGAAACATTGAGGAAAATATACCATTATTGCAAAGAATGTGCACATATTTCGTATTTTATGACATTCCATATAAAATGGATTACCAGACAATCTGTAAGTTTACCTGTTTACTGATATATTTCTATGCTGATTTATATTTGTTATGATTAACCTCAATATATTTTTAGTGGCATCATTATTAAACACAGAAGCAAAATCTAAAATACCTAATGTAACATGGTACAAATTACATAAAATATTAAAATCCAGCTAATTGTGTTACTGTGAATAATTGATACAAGTTTTGTATAAAATATTTGGAAAAAAAATTGATCATTAAATTAACTTATGTTTATAATTCATTATATATATATTGAAAAGATATACGGAGATTGTAGACTGATAATTTTTATAACCTGTTATACATGAACTAAATTTTGTTGCATATGTAATTCTTTCTCATGTATTATAAAATGCATAAAAATATATACAATCCAAATTCGTATAAACAAAGTGTTAATAAGATAACAATATAATTAACAGAAAATTAATTTATTATTCTATCTATTGTAATAAATATTATTTACAATATTAAACAATTTAAAATATAGCTTGACAATTTTTTATATGTGTATATGTATATATATAATTTGTAAATAATTTTAATATTCTTTTAATTACGGCTTGGAGAAACTATTGAACAGACATTAGATTGAAAAGAAAACTTATACAATTAAAGAAAATATTCTGTTTTAACATCCATAAATATATATATATATTCAACGATTTGTATAAGTTGGAAGCATGTGCTGTTTGGTACTTAAGTTGTATCAGTCAATCAATATCCAGTTATACAATCTTTTAGGTGAATTTTTTTAAGATAAACATTGGAGTTCTTGGTAATAATAATTTAATATCTCTTGTCATTTGAAATTTATAATAGTTTCAATTTACCTGAATAATGAACTACGTCTTCTATAAAATTGTTCTTCATGTATAATAGGAGTACCAGTTATGCCATATATCATGTTATCAACTATTTCACCAATAAAAGTATAACAATATAAACAACCAACTAAAATACCCCCAAGATGTCCTATAAATGAAGATTGTGGAACTAACAGATGAATTAAAATTAGTTCAACCCAAACAGCAATTTTACTGGAAACTCTAAATCCTCCAACATCCTGAATTCTATCATACTCTTCACAAACTACAATTACTTTTAATGCAAATAAAATAGCAGAGAAACCAATAGCACATTGTGTATAATATCCATAATCCCCTGTTAACTGCATTAAAGCATAGCCTAATCCTGCATACATAGTACTGCATCCAAACGAAAGAATAGCTAATAGCATGACAAAATTTATTGTTCCATACATAGGTTCTAAATATGAACCTTTCAAGATCAAAGATACCATATTATAATACAAGTGCATATCTGAACCATGTTCAAAGTTTGATATTAAGAAAGAATTCCAATCATGGTATTTAAATACTTTTATTGCTGATATGCATACTTCCTCTGCATTCCATGGAACTTTTATCAAACCAACATATAGTAAAACCTGTAAAATGATTACTTTTTGTATAAAATAATAATTACTTTGATTTATCAACTTCATTCATGTAGAGATTACATTATTATTTATTCACCTGTGCGATAATTGTAATTAAAGTAGCTGGTGGAATTTTATCAATACCATAGTTTAGAGCTTGCATACATAGCAAATAAATGCCGTATTGTAAACCCTGTTGTCTCCTTTGAATAGGTCTCATGACGTTGTATTAATTTACGAATGTGAAATGTTCTTTCGTTTATAACTTGGATCATAAAGCTCAAAACAATTTGTTGTTTTTTATATAGGTTATGTTTCACATAGGTTACAACACATAAAAGCAAATTGATAAAAATTTTACCGTATAAAATATTTCTACTGTATCACGTAACATTTATGCTTCATAATTACCAATTATAATTTGTTGTTATCACTATAGTGCAATGATTTTATTAAAATCAAATACAGCACTTTGACAAACGTTTATTACGTTAGGCCGTCAAGAAATTTAGCTTATTCAACATTATTCAGCACCAACTGGAAAAATTTGTAAATTTCACGAATAAATAAATTGTGAAGATAAGAGGATAACCAAGAAGCTTTCTTGTTTTTTCTAATTGTGAACTTTACGTCAGTTGTATGATCTTTATGATGAACTTTCTGGTTTTGAATTAGCAACAGCTCTTTGTAATCAGAATTCTGTGAATCATAATTATTCCAAACTTCGTTGATGGAGAGGTTTCAATCCGAATCCAACGTGTAAAATATATCATTTACAGTGTCATAAGCATCGGCAATTTTCCTATTCATTTCTGCTTGTATCTCGTATTACATTACATGCTTTCCTCTAACATGTTGTTTTATTTACATATAAATTTACAATAGTATGCATAAATATGATGATTCAACCTTCCAAATTATATTACTTCAGCATCCGTTTAAAATTACTTTTGATGAAAAAATTATGGAACATCAGCATATTTTTCTCAATTTTGTAAAATTTGTTTAAAAGGCTTTTATTTATAAAATAAATATACAAATTACATGAAACTTTGCTATTAATTTCCGTGTATTAAGTTATAAAATCAATAAATAGCAAAAAATTTGTTTTCGCATATTACAAACCGCATAATATATATGCCTAATGCATACATATATATATATATAATATATAAACACGTGAAACATAATATATATATATATGTGTGTGTGTATATATATATTTATATATATATATAGCTGGTCAGCCGCTTTTTTTACAAATTAGTATCTAAATAAGTACTAAGATAAGTATGGTTAATAAATAGGTTGTAAATAAGATTAATAAAGAATGGTTTAGAAGACTCAATCAGCTTGAAAAACCAGGATTTGTGTGTTCTATGATGCATCTACGGCAATAACGTTTTACTGCTCGGTATCCAACCCATGTAACCCTCGGGCATTCGCCAATATTGAGCTGCCTCAATCCTCGTACGTAATATGCTAATGCTTCTAATCCAGCATCTGTGACACGCTCACAACCACATAAAGATAATTTTTTCAAATTTGGACATCCAGTAGAAAGGGCTTCAAGAGTTGCATCACCAATATCACATTTCCCTATATCAAGCGCTCTTAAACGCGGACATCCACGTGCCAAAGCTAACGTAGCACTATCACTAAGTGCTTCACAGCCACGGGCATTTAAATACCTCAATTTGTAACAGTGTCTAGCAACAACCAACAGACCAGCGTCTGACACGCGATCACATTTTCCCACTGAAAAGTAACGTAAAGATGGACCGAGACGTGCTGCCAATTCGCGTACTCCATAATCTGTGATTTTTACGCAATCAGAGACAGATAATTGACGCAAATTGCAACAGTAGGAAGCAATCGCTATAAGACTGGCATCAGTTATACGCACACATCGTCGTAAATATAAACAAACAAGATGTGGCATGCGAGACAGTGTCAATACCAAGCCAGAATCTTCAATACCATGACAATCACTGAGATCTAATGATTGTAACTGTAACGTTGTTATTCGACTACACGCTCTTGTTACGCTGACACATCCTGTTAAGTCCAATTCCTTTAGATGTATGCAATTATCTAAGATAGCTGTCACATTTGTGTCTGTAACACGTCGGGAATGTCGTAAAACTAATGAAGTTAAACTTAAAAATGATAATTGGGCAAAAATCCCAGCTAAGCCAACAGCACCTTCGAGCATCAGACGACGGATATAAGTGTGGCATCCTCGTCTGGTTAAGGCATTCAAAGCAGCTGTTGCATTTTGGGGATAACGTATTTCTACTTCTTTCCAAAGAGATGGATGCCATGCTATTTCCCAAAGACGCCTGCAAGTTTGAGCAACAGAGCATAGATCTCTGGTACCAAGCCAACTAAATATTTTTAATAATAAAGTATCATCCAGTTGACACAAATCCACGACATAAATGCACTTCTGTTGTAATAAAATTTGTTGTCTAATTGGAACTGATATAACTGCTGATGAAGACGTAGAACGGCAAACATTGTTATCTAATGTATGATATCCTAGGTCAATTGCATCTGATGTTGGTCTGTATAGACCAACCTTTTGGGATGAATATGGAGTTTCTCTTTCAGAGCTGTCCTTTTCCCCAAAGGATGGAAGGAGAAGTGGACATGATCCATCCATTCCATGCTCTATTCTGAATTAAAAGAAATAAAAACGTTTCTTCAAACTGTATAGAGATCAAAGAAGTTAATTAAAATTATATCATAATTTCTTTATGTTTTGTTATTTTAATATTATTTTTGAATCTATATTCTATATATATTTTAATAATATTTACACTTCTAAATAAGACTTCAGAAAAAATACATTGGTAAAAAATGAAAATAAGTTTTAGAAATGAAAAAAAATAGCTTTATATATAGCATTGGGACTTAAATTTCGCGGGTATATGGATAGCCAATTAATTAGCTTATTAAGTAAATTAAATATCATAATTTAGGGCTGAGCAAATTAAAAAAAATATTTACTTACTATTGTGCGACAAATAGAAAAATTAGCAACAATACGTAACATTGCGGAACAATATCGATCTATTTGGCACTGCCTCCATTTTGATCTTATATTCCAATTCTTGAACCAGCTGGAGATCGTAGCTATTTCATATAATAAAATTACAACATATTAATATTTTTTGAAATATTAATTAATACCTGAACTTTAAAATTACTTAATTACATACTCAGAATTACAAATCGCAGCTAAAATGTTAATTTCAATATATGCTTATTTATAAGGCCCCAATATTGTCGATAAATCCCCACTTTTTAAATAGATCTTCTTAGGGTTATTTTCATCAATCAATTTTATGATATTAAACATTTTTTTATACAGTGAAAATTCAATATAAATTTTTATTATTTGCAGTTTACAATAATTTGTACTTTCCTTTACATTTCTATACTTCACTTCTTTTAAACAAATCACAATATAAAATAAAGTAAGAATGTACAAAATATGTACCATTATAAATGTGAAATTGTACCATTAAGTTAATTTCTTATAATTGTATATGAAATGTATATTACAATTTTTATAAAATATGTACGCAATATAATTACAAAATTGTATTGAAAGAAAACATCACATAATCATCGTAGGTTTAATAGGTTTAATTTCGCAATTCAATTTTGTAAATCCGCCTTGAACATTTATAATTTTATACACGATTGTATACTGTATATACATCATACATGCCTGTGCGACATGTGTACGACCATGCTTTAAATATAGTACATACTATAAATTACATAATTTTATTGTACGTATAGGTTACTTTCAATAATTGTTTGTTATAAAGTTAAAATTAATTTAACTATAACCATTTTATCAAAATGGCTAATACTTCAGCTAATGTAGTTATGTCAAAGACCGTAAAGAACAAAAGTAACTTTGAAGATGAAGTCAAAAAAAGAAGTTTAGAAGATTAGCGAAAGATTAAAGAATTAGGAGCAAGAAAAGTTACCAGCTGCTTTTCCTTCAGACTGATTCATTATTTATAAAAATGTAATGTATAAAAAATGAACAACGTAGATACCATGTCTTATATAGATTAACGTATTTAATGAAACGCGAACAAAATTGTTGTATTATTTTTTGCAAATTATAATTCATCAGATTCTGAATAATTTAATAAATAAATTTTTATTGCAGTTTTCAGTTAGATTTTCTTAGATTAAACATAGCCTCGTTTAACAAACTTTATCTTTATGAATGTATTACCATATTCAAAGCTATATGTAATATATATGTACTTGGTATTAGTTTCAAATTTGAATTCCTATGCGACAATAACCAGTTTTAAACATAATATGTGTTTAAACTCTACTTATCAATCTTTGAAGGCATAATTTTGCATAATTTGTTACTACTAAAGCAAAAGCATTAAATAAATATGAGAAAATATTTGGAATGTGGAACAAGTTATGAACACAAAAAAAGATTTCAATATATAGAAGTAAATTCTATCAATTGGTTTGATTTATTTAATTCTTTATTAAAATCATTACAAAAAACATTTTGATTTATATTATTAATTCAAAATGTAAAATGAATGTATTTGATAAAACACACACCAAACTATTGGAAGTAGTAGAAAGTTTTTTAAAAAATAACATAAAAGCTTATAGCTTTTATGTTATAAGCTTATAGCTTATAGCTTATAGAAATAGCGGAAATATCCGCTAAAGACGGAGTATTTATAGAAAAATAAATATAAAGTTGGAAGAAATAATTTTCCAAATCCACTGAATCATTTGAACTCATTTGAATGTATTTAAAATATTTATTTGTTTGTAGTCCTTGGAAATTTTTGTTATATAAAAAATGAGTAAAGATAATGTAATATATTTGTTTTAAATAATAGTGCTGATTGCAAGACTTTATCTACTGAATAACAAGAAGTTGTTTGTCCTAATAGTTCAATAATACTTATTACATCTTGTCTTCAATTATATATATATATATATATATATATATATATATATATATAGTTAGTATATATATATATATATATAGTTAGTAATTTGCATTACACTATAAGTAGAAAGCTTATTTTGTAAATCTACGCGGGATTTAATAATTTAAATAAATGTATATACGGTCAATTTAAGCGACTTATATGCAAATGTTTATTACAAATGTTTAATAATATAACTTTAAAAATGCAAAAAATCGTATAATGCACATAATATGCAAAAATATATAAATATCCGAAATAAAATACTCATAATATTTAGTACATGAAATAAATCCTCATTTTTTTAGTTAGTAAAAATATGAACTTGAATAAAATTAAGGATATATATCTGATAATTAAATTATACAAAATATCTAATTTAACATTAATTGTTCGATAGCTCAAAAAGAAGAAGAAAAAAACATTTTGCTATGCAATAGAATTGCAGATTGTTTCTTGGAAACAGAAATCGCTTGGCTATTTTATCTTTTAGCGGAGCAAACTTTTAGGTGAGATGACTAAACGGAAGTTGGTGTCGCCACACGAGAATGCTACACGAGGGCATTAGAGTCGCGAATCTATAACATAAGTGACCAAGATATCTATATAGATATCGTATCTTTCTAGCACAGTGTGTACACGTTCATGCGTACACACACATTCGCATATGTACACACAGATATATATATATATATATATATATATATATAGTCATACGTATATATATCACACCTAAGTGCTCTCTTGAACAAATTATGGCATTGTCTCTTATCAGGGGTAAGGGTCTACAATACGGAAATTCGCAGTTACGTTTCTTATCTTGCATTTCGAACATGAAGGTAATTATAATGTTATTTATTCCTTAATCGAATAGTATTCGTTGCTATTATTTCATTAGATAAGTAATATATGTCTATTTTACGAAGAAATTGCCGAAACGAGGAATTTTTAGTTTGGTATTCAACATCGTAGAAGGAGAAGTGGGAGAAATACTTGATTGAGATATACAAGTTATTAATAGTTTTATTGAAAAATGTATTATAAATTTTCTCCTTTCGCTTTTTTCTTTTCTTATCGAAAGAAAACTTTCCGAGAGGAGAACGAATGAATTTGTTTTGTGAGGCTATGATTCGATATATGTACTGTGTCGTATTCTAAGGTTTCTATACTTCGATACTTAATTTCTGATATCTAAATTTCCAACAGAAAGGATTGGTGCTCGGTCTATACGAAGCAGAAGATGAAAACAACGTTTCATTGACTCCCACAGCGGCTAAATATGATGAACTAGTTAATGGAAAACTGCAAAAACATATTTTGTTGTAAGTTGAAAATTTTATTAACGATCTGTAACATATTTTGTACCGTAATCAGATCTTTTTGTATCACATATTTATGTAAAAATCTGTGTTAATATTCTTTTTACTAAACATATTTTTTTTTCATATAATATGTGAAACCAGATCATAGATGTGTGTCCATAATTCAGGTATAAGTACCGTATACCTAAGATTGAACCGCTTTCCTTCAAATCAAGCAAGTACTTTTATCAATTCATGATAAATCAAATGTAAATAGTAAATGACATTGATTTATGATAAGTGACCATGCAAAGTATAGTTTTACATATTATTATTTCTATAGTTTTGTTTTGCATATCATATGGATTAACATTAATGAATATTAAATCTTTTATTCATAGTTCCAGCCTGAAACAATTGTCATAATGCTGCCTGAGCTTTTATATATAATATTCAGAATTGCTTTTCCTTTGTTCTTTTGAAAAGTTTACATAAAGTATTTTCTTTTAACAAAATTGAATTTAAATGAAATTTATGTCTTATGAGCTCACTGGCATTATTTTCATTGTTTCAGGAGAGACTAGACTGAGAGACGATATTGTACGCATGATATGAAGCAAAACTCGCTGCACAGAAGGAGTTACCAGACACATATTTTGTTATATAAAAAATTTTAACAGTATATTATTTGTAAAGCAATTATTTCTATAGATCGGTTATTAATCAAGTAAAATCATCTATTGGAAGAGCTCATACAAAACTTTAAAAAGTATGAGATTTAAAAAAGCAGATTAAAATTACCAGATGTATCTGAAAATAATTAAATGTATTCTAAGAAATATTATTCAATTGAGGAAAAAGATGTCAGCTATCAATGATAGTAATTTGGGAAATGATATTCCTGGAAGCAGCGGAGGTGTAGGTGAATGTAGTGGTAGAATGAGTAAACAGAATCACTCAGCAAATGTTCTTCATAGAATTAGTGGTACACTTGAAGATAAAAATAATGATTATCTATGTCCTATTTGTCTTGAAGTAATTGATGAAGCTCATATCACACGTTGTGGTCATACATTTTGTTATCGTTGTATAATAAAGTCTTTGGAAGCCAATGGCCGTTGTCCAAAGTGTAGCTATGCGTTAACTCAACAAGATATTTTTCCAAACTTTCTATTACATGAATTGATATCAAAATATAAAACTAGAATTAAGGGCCTTGCTGAATTAGGATCTTCTTATGCAGCTGATGGTAGACACAGAGTAGTAGGTACAGATTTACCTGTACCACCACATGATGGTTTAAGAGATATTATAGCTGCAGAAAGTGCTAATCTAACATTACCAGATGTAAATGTAATGCTAGAAGTACTAACACAAAGAAAACATTTACTGGAAGCAGAAACATGTACAGCACAAAATAAATTGTTACATGAATTTTTGAAGCATCTATTGCAGCAAAAAGAAGAACAAAAGAATCAGTTACAAAAAGAGATAGCATTAATTAAGAAGGATATGGAAGAAGTTGAGAATATTCTAAGAGATGTTCAAAATAAATGTCCTAAAGTAGAAGATTTGAAAAAATCCAGTGAGAATGATACTGCACAGGTATCAGCTATAAGAAAAGAAATGATTGGTCTTATAGATATAATTGATTCAAACATGGTAAAACCAAATGAAAAAGCAAGTGTTGTTGGAAGCGAAACCTTTATTAATCCTACAGGAAGTAAAAAACAAAATGATTATGCAGTAGGATCTACTTTAGCTGTACGTAGAAAGAGGATGCATGCTCATTTTGATGATTTTGTTCAATGCTATTTCGATTCTCGTGCTAAGGAACTACTCCTTGGGCATAAATCTCACAGTCAAAGTGATTCATGGCAAGGTACTAGTTCAGGACTTGATGTTTTTAGAGAAAACCTTGTTAAATTCTCTAGATATAAAGCATTACGTCCATTAGCGACTTTGAATTATTCGTCAGATATTTTTAATAATTCCACTATTGTTTCAAGCATTGAATTTGATAAAGATAATGAATTT